GTGTTCAGTTCTCAGTTGTCTGATTCATTTTAATTAAGTTCCAAGAGCTACACTGTTCAAAACAAAAGTCCGTGATCCACTCTTTATCTTTCACCTTCGGACAAAATAACCCTGTTATCTTTCTATTCCCATGTAACCAAGGTCATATATTTTCCCTTTTCTTTTTTCAGTCTTCTATTTTCATTTCAACCTGCAGGCGGCTCTGTTGCTCTGCTTTCTCTTTTCTCTTCCTTGTATTATTCCAATATGAGGTATAGTTCTTTATCTTTTTGTATTTTATAGTTGAAAACAAGAGAAAAACAAAATCTAATTCTCAGTTTTAACACTATTCAATATTTTTAGTTATTCCAACATGTCCAGTCCAGCTTCAATACCAAATTTCTTCCAGGAAGTCCATGATTAATTGCTTCCTTTTTCAATTGGCTGATTAAAAGAAACTTTTCTCGCCGCTTACAGGGGTGGGGTGGAAAGAAACCCACTTCCACATTTCTCTTTTAACCTCTCCTTCACCCCACTTTCCCAGTGGGGCTCTTTCTCCAGTAGTTAATTTTAATTTACATTTCTCACCCAGCACGATCACACCTTCTTTCCAGTTTCTCTTTCTTCTGGTAGCTGTCCCAGCTTCATAGTGGCTTGCAATGGACATTTTTCCATGTCGTTGGCTTTAAAGGCTTTCTCCGGATCAACCAGGGAATTTGCAGTTTCCCTGGGATTGACAGAGTATGCCTTCTTCAATTATCATCCCTTCTGGACGATTTAGGTCCAACTGGACCTCCTTGGAGCTGGGATTTTGATGCTCCCCCTGGAGCTCAGGAAAAGCTCATCGTATTGCTGCGACGTCAGCTCTGTCCTCCCAGAAAGAACGTTTATTGAAGAGCAGAAACACCCTGTGGTTCTGGGGCAGCTGACCAATCGGTTTGGTTTTACATGGCCTTTTATACAGTTTTTTACAGCATTTTGTAATCTGGAGGCTTGCTTTGTGTGGGTTTTTATTATTTGATTGGTTTTACTTGTTTCACATAAACTCATGATGGATCTTAATTATCAGCTTCCTGAACCTAATCCTGTCAGGCATGTGTAATTGATTTTTATCCTGCATTTTATTGCCTCTTGCCTGCCTTTTTTAATGGACAGGTATTGTTTCATATCCTGTCCTTAATCCCATCATCTGAAGTTCTTTTGTCTTGTGAATAGCTGGCACAATCTTTCTTAATGGGCACAAAATATCTGCTGGGGGCTATTAACACTGAGTCTGCCTTTTCTCTTTAAGATCATGTTTCTCCATTTCTCCCTTTGGGGAAATATAATATTCTGCCTCTTAATACCCCCAAAATATTCCTGGGTGGGTGGGGGGTTTCCCACAATTTCATAACACAATGATACAAGTCACTGTTGCTCATGTAATGGGAGCTGTTTGTTATATTCTGACAGTTATTTAAGGAATATTGTCAACTAACTCTTACTGCTCTGCCTCACAAAATTCTTATGATGAAGTTCCCCATAAGAAGTAACTTGCCTGCTCTAAATATCTTTTGAATAACAGATTTATGACTTCAGATAGGATTTTGTAACACAAATGTCAGTGAACCTGTTATAAATTGCTTTTGGCATCCACATTCTATCTTTTGTTGGGCTTAGAGTATTTCTATCCGAAAGTGATAAATTCTCCTTTAAGTGCTTTGTATGCTTCAATAATTACAAATATATGGAAGAGGTTTGTGCATGCAGGTTTCTGCATAGGTAGCTTTAAAAAACATATTCAGTAAAGAAAAAATAGGATGGGCTGAACCATGAAATGTTACTGAAGAAAAATAATGTGCCAAATAATTTGATAAATGAGAGAGAGAGAAAAAAATATATGTTAATAAAGATTTTTCAAGCACCAAGTATGGGTATAGGAAACAGATTTTATTTTCTACACAATTTTTGTCCCTTTTATCCAAAAAGGAAATTATGTGGATTAATATCCAAGTTTAAATTTTGCTTAAACTTGGATGATCTATACAGTTTATTTTACCAACTCTTGCTCCTGTTTGGATGCTCAAATGTAAAACACGTAGAAAGCCCCAAAGTAGCAGCAAGATTACTTTGGTTCTGTGAGAAGCAAAAGACACCGGATGTTAGATAATAGAGAAAATTAATGTTAGCCATATTAGTGGATAAAACACTTAAAATGTTTAACTCTTAGAACTTATTCAGATATTAAATTTAATTTCAAACATTTTTCTCCAGCAACTGGAATTGAAGAAATATTTTCATTGTCTTTCTTCCATTTATAAAATTGATTCTTCTGATATTGGTTTGGAGAATGGTGATGTTTTCTGTGATCATGTAATATCTATTCTGCAATGTGCATAGCTGTGTGGCAGTGCTTTTCCAAATACAACTGGTGCTTAGTGGACACATTGAATAAAAAGAATGCACCATGCACTGGTTTTATAATCCCCTTTGGAACACCAATCACTAAAGATTGGTATGTGTTTCCAGGCATGGGAACTAGAAAGTTACAATCATTCAAAACCAATACATTGTAGTCATTTTTTCTGCATTGGAACTGGGCCTCTACTGTCATTGTAGGATACACACACACACACACACACACACACACACACACACACACACACACACA